TCATCCTCACGAGACATCAGCCCAACGTCGTGCACACGGGCATTGTCTGTCATCCAAAGATGTAGCCGGTCCTTTTAGTTGCCTGTCTCATTAGAATACACCGGCATGGTGAGCAGCATCACCTTCTTGTCCCCGATGATTGCGGTGATGAAACCACTTCACATGTTGTCCCCTTTTCGACTATGTGAGGTGTCCCACACGCGCGAAATTGGCTCACGCTTGCTGTACCAACTTGTGCCAACCCAGGTGGAGGTGTACACGTTGTAGTAGCCATCCTTGCAGGGAGCGGTCGTATCGTAATACGTTTTCCATTTTCTTCTTCCCATTCCACAATCGATGGATCCCTGTAGCCCCCAAGTTCTATCGTATGCCGCGAAAGTTCTCATTTACTCCCTGACCGTGTGAAGCGCATAGACATAAGAAGGTCCTTTTCATCCTCTTTGGCCTGCATGGGGAACACAAGCGTGCCGTCCTGCAGCACAACACCCAACCCTCCGCCACCAACCAACCGAGTCAAAGATCCATAAATTTCAGATTCTGGATGCACTGCATGGGTCTCAGCCCACTGGATTTTCTCTTCTTCATTATTTCCACTCACTGTCCCCACCACCCACCACCAACAGCAAAACATTACAACTATTTTTACCGGGACCTTGAGATTCAGACTCTGTACGGCTGTAGTTTCCCAGCAGCATGTAGACATCGCTACCAACTACCATTGTGATTGGCTGCATTATCTTTGCTCCCTTGCTGTCAGCCGCACCACTTGTCTCCTCAAATTGCGTGCAAAAGGCACTTACGTCTGTCGTCGGGATCTCCTGTGCAGCATCAGCAATTTGATTGAGGGGTACCGATGCAATCCCAGTAAAGCTGCTGCTCTCCCCCTCCTTGCACTGAGCCTCAGCAATGGCAAATACATCACTGTTCACCTCCACAAGCCTGGGGACACGCAGCAAAGTGACTTAAACTCCAGTAGCTTCTTCCCATTTGGCAGCCATCCGTGTCGTCCCTGTAAATGAATTAATGGCCACAATTGAATTACTCTCCGCACTGGCCGCAATCTCACTGCCAAAGCACATCGACGGCACACAGAGGAGGAGCAGCACAGTGGAAGAAAACAGCTGCCGGGGCATGTTATGTGGATGGTGCGTGTGCGTGTGTTTGTGTGGTGATGGCGGTGACTGCAGGGGTTTTAAGGTGCGGAGTAGTTATTAAGACGTAATCTTTTTCCTTCCGCATGAAGGAAAAAGTAAGATAAGGGGCCAAAAACGTGGGAAGAAGGCAAATAAAAAAAAAGGCTTAAACGATGGGCACCGCCGCACCCACAGCTGGGTCCACACATCGTCGTCATCGCCCCGCGGTACTCCCCACTGCAGCTCACGCACACCGGTGCATGCAAAAAAGGGAGCGAAAGGCCGAGAACACCGCAACCTCCACCACCAGCAGTAGAAACTGCTACGGCGACTTCGGCTGCCACGCGGCAACGCACACCAAACAGCCCCGGTACCCGCCAACGTGCAGTCAAGAGAAAAAAAGTTACTCAAGGAGATGCAAAAAGGGCCCGAAAGGCACAAAACTGCCACTCGCTGTAAACGGGGTAAGAGCTGATAAGTGAGGTACGCACAGCTCAACTGTGTATGTGGGAGTGAGATGGAGGAGAGCACTGCAGACGGCAATCGAAGGTTCACCGAGCCCTCAATGCAAAACATTGTCGATCCATCTCGCGGGACCCTGCCCACGATCACTGCCATCGCCACCGCCACCAGAGTTTGTTTTAAAAACACCGCAAACCCTGCAAACTAACATTACGCCGCATCGTGCACGCGAGAGGAGTAGGCGGCCGCCACGTATCACGGGAAAAAAGAAGTTTAGAGAAGGAAGAAACACGTAACTAACTGTGTGGCCCTACAACTGAGCATCCTCCCTTCATGCTACACCTCCGCAAATACTCAGCGAGAGAGAGAGAGAAGGCAAAAATAAAAATAAAAAAATTGATTGGCCAGAGGGAGAGGGGGGGAAGTGGCATCCCGTCAGGCAGACGTACACGCGTGCATGGAGGGCAGAGGCAGTACATATTTCTAACATTTGTCCATAAGTGCAAACTTTTTGTCGTTTCTGTTTTTGTTGTTGTCGTTGTCGTTTCCTTTTTTTCTTCTTTTTTATTTCTGTCGCTGGACGTCTCCTAGTACATGGTTCATTACATCTAGAAGGGAAGCTGCGTGAAAAGCGCTACTCCGCGAAGCACCCAGTGATTTTCCGAGTCCGCTGGGTGCCTCGGTAGGTCGACGGTCAGAATGAAGTTGGTGGAGTGGCCGGTGGTGGACAAGACACCACGACGATCAGTCGTCTTGTAGCAGGGGCAGTGGTACACAGGGGTGTCGGGGAGCTCGTGCGGACGACAGGGAAGTAGCCGCAAGAGGGGGAATTTTATAAAAAGTTCCTTCGGTCTACTTTCACAGATGGTGGCGTTGGTGGGGTCCCACCCCGCACCCTCCAGGAATAGGCCGCCGATGCAGCAGCCGTCCTCGGGGGCGGTAACGCACGTTTCTTCCGCAAGCACGGAGAACTTCCACACCAGTCTGTCAATTGCAATCTTCCACTTGCGCGCGTAGTTCTGCATAACGCCAGTCAAAAACGACTGTGTAAAGAAAAAGCCACTAATCCAAAACATTGGTGGTGGACCCTCGTCACACCACTTTTGCAGAAACCCTAGACGCTCAATCAAGTCACTCACGTATGAGCCAAAGGGCTTCAACGACGGGTAAGACCGTCGCTTCCAGACGTCTGGTACCTTTCCATCGTACATGGCGTTGAGGACCTCTTCTAGTTCCGCGCTCATCACCACCTTTCCACTAATGGCGTCCTGCAGGTCAGCCAGGGTTTGGCGAACGACTAACAGCAGACGTCTGTATCGTATTGCCTCCTGCAACAAGACGGTGTTCATTGACTGTGAGTAATCAATTGGGTGCGTGCGCTGTATCTCTTCAATATCAAATGGCTTTGGTAGCCGTGAAAGGACGTGGTTTGCCTGCTCCCTTATCATTGTCTTGGGATCCAGCTTCGACTCTGTACCCGTGGACTCACGCGGCTGCGTCAGGAGCGTGGCCTCGAGAAGAAGTCGTGTCTCCCGCTCTTCCTTGGTGATGTCAGCATTCTCGTGTAGCCCAAAAATGGCAGGAGGCTGCTGGGACGGCAGCCCCCGAATATATTCCACGTACGAGTCGTATTCCCCAAAGGGCGGGGCATAGTAGTCGGGAGCGTCGGGGAAAAACACGTAGTCATCCTCCAGGATCAGCGGCGTCAAATAGAGCGAGAGGGTGGCCACGATGCAGCGGCGGTCCCAGTCGTCCGTGACACGGCCGCCATAATTGCATTGGCCAGTGAGGTATAACAAGGCGTCGTACGGCACCTCCTCGTTTTCGTTAAGAAACATGTTGAGCTGCCGCACGCTGATACGGCGATCGGTATCATTAAACTCGTACATTCGGTTCCACCCAAGCGGTCCAAACTGCCGACGTTCCTGCACTACAGCGTGAAAAAAGCAAAGCCCAAACAACATCTTCCGCCAGACGGAGGGCTTCTGCGAGGAATTAAAGAATTGTGGGTCTGCCACAGGATTTGACATGTAAGACTGCAGGAGATTGTTTTTAAGGCCCTTCGGGGGCTCCTGCACCAACTTGACGCCGTTCTGCAGGATGGAGATGGGAAACGTCTCACTTGGAAGGGAGGTGAGCCACAGGCGGTACTGATTGTTCAACATGGCCTTTGCCCCACTGTCGCTGTAGTTTTCAACGATACGTGAGAGTTCGGGCATGAAGTCTTGATACAAGTGACAGTTCTGCAGGAACACCCAGTGCCCCGCATGCACCCCCTCCTCGATAAGCTGCCGCGCAAATATGCCCTGCCCCTGCCCAAGCGACAACTTATACAGGCGACTACTCATGCCCCGCTGCTCGGCAAGGCGGTCCAACTCCAGGCTCGGATCCGCGCCAGGCGAGAGCACAAGAACGAGCGGAACAGACGGGTCATGGGCAAGTTCATCGACGACGTCCTCCAAGGCGTAGAGTGGCGGTTCAACAAAGTAGCTGCCCAGGAAATCACGCACATAGTCCGTTACAGCCGGCACAATCTTGTCGGGGCGAAAGCAGCGTACGAGAATAAGCTGCAACAAACCGCAAAACTTATCCCCTATCGGGGTCGGTGGATCCACCTCCAATGGGTCGGGTGCGTCATAGAAGGCAGCGAAAAAGCTCTCATGCTCTTTTACCATCTTGACAAAGTCTGCCAGTACGGGGAGTTGGGTGCTGGCGCGCCACAGTAGCTTCCAGTTGTGTTCCGGGAGCCATGAATCAAACGGATTATGCGATAAGGCATCATCGTCGGACTCAAACCCACCCATTAGCAACCAACGCAACTGCTCGGCATCCACATCGTGAAGCTTTAGGCACATTGTGAAGGAAAACAAGAGCTGATCCCGTGCAAACAACGAGCGGCAAATCCGCGTGTACAACGACCTCTGAAAGGTGATACGAATGTTTTCTATGCGGATGTCCACCTCATCCGATCTCTCACTCTGCTGCAGCGACTCCTGAAAGATAGTGATGTATGCATTCAGTGAGTTTTGGTACATGGGATCAATGTTTGCCAGCTCCGTCACACAAAAGAACAGGGTGGCGCCAAGACCAGCCACCGGAATGAATAAACTCCGCGTACGATCACTTATGCGTTCCATGGCCTCAATCTCCTCCTGTCGCTTGGCAATCTGGTCGCTCTGCACCTTGGAGCTGTCCAGCTCCTCAATGGCCGTCTCACTTTCCAAGATATTTCCCTCAGAGGAGAGAATTGCGAGGATTTTATCCTCTGTGAGCTTTAGGTTGGCCTGATTCTCTGCGGCCTCAAGCGTTAGGGCATGCTTCTTCTCCTCCACCTCCCGCCGCTCGCTCATCATAACACGCTGCAATAGCTGATCCTGCAGACCCTGCTGCGTGATCATGAAGTTGACAAGCGTCACCTTGGTACTCACCTCTGGCAGGTAGTGCGGCCGCGGCATTTTTGTCGTCATGTATAAACGGAAATTGTCGTTCCACTCAACGGGTTCGCCCAGGTGCACAACGGTGGCGCCACCCTCCTTTGTAAACCGTTTCAGCAACACATTCTCTAGGATCGGATCAATCGTCTCCTCAAGGTTTTCAAGTAGCACAGGAAGACCCTCTGTGATGGCGCTGCGGATGGTCCGAATACAGTCGGAGTCGGAGAGCCGTGTGACGACCAGCCCGTTGTCCCGCTCCATGTTGCGAATCCAGTTGTTAGCCTGCTGCTGTGGGTCCACAAAGAGTGGCCAACGGTGGGAGCTTTTCACGATGACGGCATTGTCGGTGGAAAACCCATCTGACGGCAACTGCTGCAGTCTCCAGGTCTGAATGTCAATGGGCGACCCAACAAACTTTGCCAGGGCGTAGTCCGCGGAAACCTTTATGTCATGCCTTCTGCACATGTCCAACCAGCCCTGTATTGCCTTTGCACGGTACTTATGCAGGAAGGGCCCCATGTATGCCACGACACCGGCACTGACCAATACGTTTCCCACCACATACATTAACTCGTCCTCAAACCGCTCGCTTTCCTTTGCAAAGCGAGCCTTCTCCCCACCGAGGCCCTCAATAAGTTTCTTCGCGCGCGTCAGCTTGACGTCCGTGTCATTCACCTTATTCTCCAACTCCTGCTTGTCCTTCTTCACATTGTCAAGATGACTTGTAAGCTTCGCAAGCTTTTCGTTGATGACGCGCAGCTCCTCCTTCTTCTTGTTCAGACTCTCCATCGCTGTGTCGTACGCCTGCTGCGCCGCCGCCGCCTGGGCCAGCAGTGGTTTAATGATCTTATTCTGCTTGTAGTACTCCACCACAGCCCGAATGTACGTCGCAACACCGAGCAGGGCCACCGAGGTCTTTTTGATATTTTCATTCTTAAACATGTCGTTTGTCATTTTCTTCTTCACCTCTTCAATTTGCTCGTTGGGTGCCGTGTCGACAATCACCGGGTAAGCGTTCAGCAGCGTGTTCTTAAACTCACCTGTGAGTAGAGTGACCTTCGCGTGCTCCCAGTACGGGATGGTGACGCTGCCAGTGAGCGGGTCACGCACCAGCTTCGGCTTGTATACGCCTCCCAGTAACGTGCAGAGGACCTCAATAACGTACTTCACGCCTTGCGGGGGCGTCTTAAGGGCCTTGATTTCCTGCAGTGCCTTTGGGTCAAGATCAAGCACAGCACGCTGTGCCTGCTCCACTAGTGGCTGCGCTTCATCCACCTTCTTTTGCGAGGCGTCTTTTATTTCCTTCGCCGCTGCCGCCTGCTCGTTTGCCGCCTCCTCATCAACGGCGACCACGGCACGCTGCTCCTCTGCCAGTTTGCTCTCCATTTCCACCTCCTTGATCAGCGCGTCAGTCTCCGCCTGCTTCTTCGCCAGCTCCGGTCGCATGCGTGCCAGTTCCTGCTGCATCACCTCTACTTCATCCTCCGTCTTCTTCAGCTGCGTCAGACCACTGGCGTAGCGATGCATCATGGCCGTCAGCTCCGTGCGTTTCTCCTCCAGCAGACGTTCGAAGGTGGAGAGCAGGTCCATGTAGGAGGTAGGCGTCACATACGTGTGCTGCCGCATCTCTGCCAGGTATGTCCTCCCCAGGTCCCGCACCTGCTGCTGGTAGGCGACGAACATGTCCTCTGCGGCGCGGCGCTCATGGTCGGTGAGATCGACCCGTGAAATAAACCGCGCAGCAACCGAGCGCAGACCATCCTCCGGCCACTCGCGGAACCAGTCGATGGTGCTGCAGTTCACCAAGGAGGGAAACTTCCGCAGCCGCTCCCGCAAGACGCTGCCCAGCGGCGAAAAGCAAAGGGCAATGTGCATAAACTTCTTGCAGCGTTCAACAAATAGCGCTCGAAGCGCCTCCACAGTGTCAGGGCGTCCGAGCTCCTTTCCCTTTTCACGCAGCGATGCCACCGCATTTTCGTAGGTCTCCTTGTCTTGCTTCGTGTCCCAGATCCCAGGGATCTCGCCGGCATTGAGGAGGCCACAGACGTCTTCCAGAAAACTCTCGGAAGAAATTTGCGTGTCAGCCAACACAAACATGGTTGCATAGCCGTTCATGCCCGTGCGAAGCAGAAATGCTCTGATGTCGTCCAGGAAACTATTGTGGTCGTAGTCCTTTGTCTGTGTGATGGTCATGTAGTCGCACTCTTGCAGGTAGGCGGCAACCTTGGCGCAGCTGCGCCGTCCACTTCCGCCGACGCCAACAAGAAGAAGATTTCCTCCCGGCTGTCGTAGCACGCGGCAGATGCGTGATACGTGCACCAGGACGTAGTTGAAGACCACGAGGTCCAGCGTGCCCGAGTTTGTGCCCAAGTTGTACGCATCCAACCTATTTTCCAGTGATTTTCGGGCCTCCACCAGGTTTGGAAGCTCCTCGTAGTGTCCGTCATCGTTCATGAAGGTGGAGAAGAGCGTTGGGTTCTCCAAGTCCTGGAGATTGTCCGGTGCGAGTTTGAAGTGTTTTATGGACAACTTACCCGCCTCGCCAAGAAACCATTTGGTGTCCTTCTCATCGATAAAGCGGTCGGCGAAGGCGCGTGACACCTCGTGAATCCACAAATTTGATAGCGTGCGCTCGTCCACAATCTTAGCTGGGTTGGCCATATCAATGCCCTGAAACACCTTGCTAACGTCCCGCATATTGAAGGTGTAGTGAGACTTCTCCGGGGACGGCTTCAGGTTCTCCACCAGCGTCTCGTAGAGACCAATCGTTGCACCCACCAGCGCAGAACTCATGCTTCGCAGCGAGGTGGGGAAGCCTTTGCTTAGAATCCAATCGGAAAGGGTGCCAAATATCTTTCGCAGCGTCACCTCATCAAAGGCGGGAACGGCAATGGAGTTGAAGTGGCGAGTAAAGCGCTGCGTCACGTGGTTCCTCCCACCGCCAGCAGGTCCCATGGCGCACAAAAGGAGGATGTCCACCAGGCGGTGGAAGTCGATGCCGTCTTTGGTGTGATTGTACCATCCCCCGTGGTCTAGGTACTGGCGCAGCAGCTCAATAGGCGGCTGGGCGCCGTACTCCTCCAACTGCGGCAGATTCGTGTCGTCGACAAAGATCATCATCTTCTTGTTGATGGGGGGGCCGTAGACGCACTTACGGCGCTTCTCCAAACTGCCGTCGATAAGCCGCTGCAACTGCCCTGCCGTCGTCTTTGCGGAGAATTGAATCAAGTTATTGGAGTATGTGTCCTCGGGGAGCCCCTTCAGCAGCGACTTCATCATGATTGTCTTGCCGGTGCCAGTGTCGCCTACGAGCAGAAGGGGGTGCATGGCACCAATCATCAATGTTGTCAGGTAGTTGTACCGCGTCTGTGCACTGGTGGGGACAATGATGTCTTGGTACTCTAAGCCCTCGTCAATCGCAAACTCAGGCACGTAGTCAGACCACTGGGTGAAGCGGAGCTCGCCTTCGGTCTCCAGGCGAACGTCAAAGAAGGAGCGTTTGTTGTCAATGAGCGGAAGTGTAAATTTGTACAAGCCCGAGGCGGCCGCCGTGGCCACCTCCGCGTGCAGCGCCGCGTTGAAAGTGATCCGGTCCTTCGTAAAGAGACAGCCGCCGACAGACCAGACAAGCGAGAAGAGGAACCAGCCCTCTACCTTCATGAGCAGCGTCCGCACCTCTGTGTAAGTGTCGGCGGCAGGCGTGTCCTTGTCCACGTCCAACTCACTGGCAAACGCAGAGAAAAATTTAATAAAGCCTGAGATGGCAACCAGAGACCCCTGTGGAATCACAGACTTGACGTGTTTTCGCGCCACTTCAAGCATGGGCGGCAAAAAGACCTCCACGAGGGAGTGCAGCGCTGTCATGAGGGTTGGCTCTAGACGAAGCGCCTCTGGCAGAGTGTTAAAGTATGAGTCCAGCAGGCAGTGCCACCCAAGCGAGTCAGGCTCCACGTACACCATGCCGCACCGGGAGACCGTGGCGGGGGAGGCGTACGCCAGGTCCTGCACCTCGAAGATGAGGTTCATCTCCTTCGACATGGGAATGATGTCACCGTTCTGCAGGCAAAGCTTCTTGTTGTCGTCGAGGACGGTGTTCATGTTCTCAATCCACACCGCGTCAACAGGGCCGTCCAGCACAAGCCACTTGCGGTCCGTCGAGGTGTCCTGAGCAGCGCGCCTAAAGTTGTGCGGCAAGATACCGTCCGTCCACTCCCCTGAGGCCTCCACTTTGCCGTACAGCTGCGGCATTGTCACTGACTTTGGATTCATCGTGATGAGGCGCGTGCGCCGCTCCTTCCCAAAGGCCTCCATCAGCCCAAGCGCCTCAGAAAGGCAGTGCAGAATCTTCGTCTTACCACCAAAGGAAAACCCAACCAACATCATACCGTGACGCACAACGATCATCTCGTAGGTTTGTCGGACTTTAAGCTCAAAGTACTTGGTGAGCTGCAGGTTGCGAACCTCGCAAACCTTCACGAGTCCTTCGTGCATGTGCGCATAATCCGGCTCTGGGAGCTGCACGCCGGGGAATAGGTCAGAAACAATCCCCTTAAAGAGCTCCACGTCCTGCGTCAGGAACTTTGGAAGGTTGACATCCTGAATGGAACGCAGCATCAGCACCATCTCATCCTCGTCCGGGTACGTCCGCTTGAGTCTCCCCGCCGCTGTCAGCACGGCCTTCACCGCACGCATGCCATAGTCGTAGTGATCCTGCGATGACAACTGTTCTGAGCAAAGACGGTAGGTGGCAACAATCTTCTCCGCCAGCTCCTTCCCGTGTAGAAACCCGTACGAGTAGAGCTGAATCTCACCAATCATGGCGTAGTTCGGCACCATCATCGCCACCGGCCGGAAGAGGGCTTTGAGGTTGTCTGGCAACTCCGCACGACCGGCATAGCCGGGGTTCATCGTGATAAAGATGGCGCATCCTGGATCTAGACGAATCTGTGCCCCATCAAAAACAAACTCGTTGCGTTTCTGAATGATGGCCTCCTGAATAACCGCTACCTGCTGGGCAATAACAGAGAGCACCTGGATCTCGATACGGTTAAACTCATCAAAGCAGCCCCAAGAACCAGACTGAGATAAGCCCTTAAAGAGCTTAGCCATGTCCTTCGCCGTAATTTGATCGGAGCAGTTGTACACAACGCAGTACTTGCCAAGAGCCTTGGCAAGATCCTTTGTGGTTTCCGTCTTCCCTGTCCCCGCAGGACCCTCCGGCGCCCCACCATAATTGAGATGCAGCGCGCCAATGAGTGTGCGGTAGCAGCGATCCGTGAGCGGGGTGATGACAAGACGACCAGTGTTGCCCAAGTATTCATAACCATACCGCAGGGAAGCATTGATCTGGTGCACGTGCAGGTGGTCCTCCTCCCAGTAGTACCGCAGTTGGGCCAGCCAGTCAAAACTCCTCGGAGAATCCACGCCCTTCTCGGAGAGCTGCGCAATGATATCTTTGCCGTGAACCTCCACCACCACAAGTGCCTCAAGCGTGCATCGCTCCACCGCCGCCAGATTGCGATCCCGCACCAGCACGATGAGATCATCCAGCTGTGCGACGCACTTCTCGTGATACGTGGTGAGCCCCACTGTGCCCTCCGTGCTCATCGCCTCAGTCGCCTCCATTGTCCAGTAGAGGGAGCAAATGGCAATCACTACCTGACCAGGCCAGGCACGAATAAACTCGGTTCGATTTTTGCGGGTGGCATAGTCGCCCGTTGCCTGACGCAGCTGGTCAAGAATTGTGTCCCGCATCACATTCTCCAGCGCCTGTAGCCACTGTTCCACGAGGTTCTGGTAGTCACCAGGGTTCACCTTGCGGATGAACTGCACCACTTCCCCCTCCGAGGACTCCATCGCAAGAATGTCGTGGGCGTCAGCAAACTGAATGCGCTTGATGCCCTCAAAGCACTTGCTAAGATAGGGCTGCACAAGGTACGGATCCTTGCTGTCAGATAAGATCTGCAGCAGCTCCTCGTTGGAGATAAAGTAAAACCGCGGAAACGCCATACGCTTGGTTTCAAGAAACTGCTGCAGTTTCTTGAGAATAATGTCGAGATTGTTGTTGTTTTCGGCGAGCACCCGCAGCAGCGTCTCGTCTTGGCACCGCGTCAGAATTTGCGGTGTCATGCGGGTCATGTCCATGATTTTGTGCCAGGACTCGTCAACGGCAAGAAAAAGCTGCTTCTCCTTGGGGAGACTGCGAGAGATGTCGGCGGAGGAGAAAATCGGCTCGAGGTAGGCCCACGTTCCCTGGCACTTGAACCACTCGTCCATGGTGCACTGAATCCTGTCCAGCAACGTCTCCCACCGCGAGACACGGGCCTGCAGTACCGGTGCCTGCCGCACAATCGGCTTCCCTAGCATCGACTGCGTCTTCAGAATGTGTTCATCCAGCGTTAACTGCATAATGTCGTTTGACTTCAGCTTGTGGGTGTCCTGGTAGGGTTCCATGTCAAAGAGCAGCTTCTTCCACTCCACCTCCATCGCCATGAGTTCGCTCTCCAACTCAAAGGACTTCTGAGCCACCGTGGCGATGCTCTCAATCTGCGGCAGAAAGTCCAACATCCCGAGTTTGATGAAGTCGTTAAAGGGCCGCCCCTCGTTGGAGCCGACGCCACTGGTGCCTTGAATTTGCTTCTCCTTCGGCATCCCACATACTTGATAGATGGCCTTCCAGTGGCTTCCCTGCAGGTTGCTGCGCAGCGCGTAGAGCAGCGGGACGTACGGCTTGAAGGCAGCAATGTTCTCGCGAATGCGCTTCAGCACTCCCATCGGCTCCGCCTCTTTGATCTTCTTTGAGATGATCGCAATCTTTTTAGACCACTCCATCAACAGCTGATCAACCTCCAACGGCTCCAACGCCGACAGGCGCGTGTTTAGCCACCGCTCGCTCTCGTTGTTGAAGAGGCTAATAACCTCCCACAGGATGTTGTACGGCTCCAGATGCATTCGGATCTCCTTCAGCTGCGGCCACTTGGACTGCGGCAGGCCAAAGAGTGTTTCGTGACTGTTGTAAAGCTGCACCTGCCCCTGGTACTCCTTGATGCGCTGCTCCAGCGCCTTTCCCTGCTCGTGGTACACGTCGGCACGCGCGTCGTCGCCAAAGTGGGCAAAGTCATCCACAATGTTGCCCAGCTGCACAATCTCGTTGGTGAGGGTCTCGCAGCTGTCCCGCAATTTCTGCATGAGGACGTTGCGGTACTCTTTGCTGCGGAAGTTGCCGTCCTCTAGCTCCTGCTGCAGGTGCCTTGGCCACTCGTACGCAGTGCGGTAGTCATTGCAGGCTGTGGCGGAAAACTCGTAATTGTACTTGAAGAGGAGGTCAACGCCCTCAGTGAGGGTCTCAAAGGTGGCATTGAGCTGCTCCTGCCGGGCCGGGATGCCGTCGAGGAAGTCGCGGAACTCCTGCAGCTCCTCCGGCGACTGCGGCTCCCCGGACATGCGGGCACTCATCGTGTTGTACTCGCTGATCATCGCCGAACAAGTGTTCCGCAGGCGCTCCGCCAGCGCCTTCATCAAGGCATTTTGAAGCTCCGTCGACTTCGCAATGAGGGAGGCCTTGATGCCCTTGCAATCAATCAGGAACATCTCATACCTTACATGGTTTGGCGTTCGCCGCGCGATGCGCTCCCTGTCGCGAGAGAGGCGCTCAAAGATCCAGTCAAAGTCTAGCAACGTCAACTGCCGCGCGTTCGCCTCCGCCACCAACGCCTGCGTGTCCTGCTGCAGGACGTACCCAAAGGTCTGGTACATCTGCTGCAGCTGCAGCGGGGCCTCCACGTTGTCGCTCAGCGCCTTCTCCACCATTGATCGTGCTTCACACACGGCCGGGTCCGAGACGTCAAGCGGCCTCAGCATCCGCGGCTGCAGCGGAAGCAGCGGGAACAGTTGGTCCCCCATCCCGTGAATTTGCTCGGCATGCTCAAAGCAACCCTCAAACACGGCCTTGACCTTCCGCGAAACGTCATCCAGCGAGGGAGAGAAGGCGACCCGGCCGGCGTCCTCCACAAGGTTCAACACAAACAGTGGACGCAACCCCTTCGGATTCATCGTCATCTCCACTACACGCTTCGTGTACCGCAGGTGGTTGCGAAACGTCCCGAGGCGCCAGACAAACGGCACATCCTTCTTCTCCTCCTCGGGGGGCAGGATAACTTTCTTTTGTTGTCGACCGCGCCCACCACCACCACCACCACCACCACCCACGTTGCGGATGCGCTCCGCCTCAGCCTTCGCCATGGCGGCGCGCTGCTTCTCTTCCCACTCCTCCTGACGGTGGCGCCAGTGCTCCGACTCCTCCAGGTCCTCCTGCAGTTCGTCCATCGGGGTGTCATCGATGCGTGGCTCAACGCGGTAGCGGTGGATGAAGGCGGCAAACTCCTGCAAGGACGTGAGCAGCAACTCGCGCAGCTGCGACGTCATCATGACGTTCACTAGATTCACAAAGCGGCACATGCGGCTGGCGGTGTACCGCTCCAGGTTGTCCTCGTAGAACTTGAAGTGCAGGTCAAGGTTGTTTTGGATGGTGCAACGAATGTTAATGCTCCACTCACCGTGCAACTTCTCCGAGACACTGAATCCTCGGTGCGCCTGAAGCTCCTCAAAGTTGCGTAGCTCCATCGGGGTCTCCCGACGGTCCCACTGTGTGATGCACAGCAGCTCCCCATTATACTCGTTCCACTGGGTATGAACGGCGTACACCGTATCGCGCAGCAATGCATGCGTTTGGAATAAATTCTCCGCAATAAACTCCCGTGACACGTGGAAGTTTGGCGAGGGTGTTTCTATTGTGCCACACAGCAGACTTGCCCGCGGCTCACCCACGCCCGTAGCCGGAAGCGCCGTAGAGGACGCAAATAGTGACGACGGCGGCGGCGGTAAACCCAGCACCTCCGCGCGTCGCTGCTCCTCGGGACCTGCCATCTCGCGCCAGTGCTGCGCACGCTTCAGGCTGAAGTAGTAGAGCTCTTCAACCTCGCGCGTGCACTGCTCCACAAGGTGCAGGGAAGTCAGAGGGAAGCTCCCTGCCACCAGGCCCAGGATGCGATCCATCTGATCCTGGTCCATCGGAGCAATGCAGCTGCCGTCAATGGCCTGCACGTACATCCGTCCCCGCAATGCGGCCTCTGTCTCGGCCCGGTAAGCCATCGCCTGTCGCACACGCTCGTGCCACAGTGTTTCGTCTTCTGCGTCAAAAATTATGTTGAGTCGTTTTGTCCACTTGCTGCAGCCGTTAGACGCCCAGACAATTTGATAACAGCTCCTCTCCTCGTCGTACGCGACAACATGGCACGGGAGCCACTGCACCTCATTGGTCTTCTTGTCAAAGTAGCGTGAGCGGGCCGGGGTGCCGCCGTCCTTCTTGCCGAGCAAGACCCATTCCTGTGGGGTGTGGATTTCAAAATCCGTGTTGTCAAAGTCCTCCAGCTGAAAGTAGGTGCGGGTGTGGGCTGGCCCCGGCATCGTCGTCGTGTTCACCGTTGCGGATGCGGCAGTTGTGATGGTGGCGGTGGGCGACATTATCTGCGAAGGCAGGGGTGACGGCGTAGCACAGCAACACGAGTCCAGCAACGTCGGGGATTTCGCCGCACGCAGTGAAGGCAGCGACCGCATAAGTAATTTCGGCAGCCGCACCCGCAGCGGGGCTGCAGTGGCGTCGCGCCTTTGTAAAGACCGCGGGGGTGCAGGTGGCGAGACGCGCGGCCTCCACGGCGACTGCCCGGCGCCTTCAGCCATCTTCTGCTGCACCATCCGCTCAATGACGGGCCGCTCCTTCTCCTCAAGCCGCCACTGGGCAAGGTACCCACGCGTGATGGCCTGCCGCTCCTGCGCGGTCTTATCCTTCAGCAGCTCCTCCGACACCTCAACGGCACGCTGGAAAGGCAGTGGCGACGTCGGCTGCGGCGACCCACGTTGCTGCGGTCTCATTTTCTATTGTTGCTTCTGTTCCCGTTGCGCAGAAAACTCTGTGCGGGTGCGTCAAAGCGGAAGGAAGGGGAGGTGGGGGAGGTGGAAGTGAAATAAGGCGGGCGAAGACCGTGACAGCATAGTGTGGGACAAGAAAGAGAAAAGAGAAAAAACGTTCACGTGGTGGACACGTTCCACGTGGGATCTGCGCACATGCCGCAGCCCATACCTGGCCACCAGCAGCCAAAGCCCAAACACAGAAAAAAAAAAAAGAGTACAACGCCACTGTTGTTACTTCTTAATTTGCACACTCCTTATATATATATTATATATATGCTGCGTCGTTCTTCAGTCTCCTCTTCGCTCACTCGCGCCGCTGCTTCTTCAGCGGTCTGGCGTCCTCGCTGAGGTGGCCGCACGCCTCCTCCGCGGCGGTGGTCTCCCGCCCCCGCTTCTCCGCCCGCACCTTGGCAAGTTTCCGGCGCCCCCCATTGGACTTCAGCAGGCGAAGGTGCCTGCGCAACTCCCGGAGCCTCTCCCGCGCCGCCTCCCGCATCTCCGACGTCACCGTCACTGGCGGCTTCTTCGCGCGGCGACGCGCCGCGCGAGACATGACGGGCCCTTTCCTCAGCTTTTCTTCATCCCTCTCCCCCACCTCATTTTTCGGGTTCACCTCCGCATCGGGCCGCACCTCCGCGGCTGCGCGTAGGTGGCGTGGCATCATGCTGCTGCGTGGATGTAGCCCCGCTCTTCCCGGCCGCCGCCGTCACCGGGCAGGGAGGTAAAAAAGAAAAAAGGAAAAAAGCAAGAAACGGGGCGCATAAGACGCGGAGTGTCGTGGCACAAAACGAGAGACGACACACAAACGGCAAAAAAAAAAACGCGGTGAGTCATCTCCACCGCCGGAAGCCGCTCGCCCCGTCTCCTTCCTCACTTTATTTTACTCCAGTGCTAGCCCGTCGGGAAGGGCGTCTTCGGCACCCCACAACTTCACAAACCGTACAGCGTCAACGTCCCACTCGCGCGGTGCATCGTCGCCGCGCACAAGCGCGAGGGCTCCCCGCACGACAGGCTCTAAATACTTCGTCGCCACACCAGGGGAGCCGTTGATCTCCAGCAAGAAAACGTTCAGCTGGTCGTCAATGATGAGATCGTACCCGAAAAGCTGAAAGCACCGATATGGTATCTCGGGCAGCACCTCCAGCTCCCCCCGCATCGCCAGCAGGGTGCGCACAATGATGTTGCAGATCTGCGGAAAAATCCGCCTGCCAAGGACGTCCTCCTTGTACGCCTCGCGCAGGTACGCCGCAAGCTGCGGGAACCAAACCTCGTTGCCGTCCTCGTACTGCCCAAATTGCGGGGAGCTTTCCTGCAGGCAATGATTCGTCAGGTGAGCCAGCGTGTCACCAACGTCGCCAGCGTCGTACAGCACACTCGAGGTGCGGCAGCTGCCTTGTGCGAAGGCGTAGATGTCGTACGGGGTCTTTAGAAAAGCCCACACACGGACGTCAAACTTCCTGCCGTGGTACAACAACGGGTGGTCCACATACCGCTGCGCCACGAAGATGCTGCGGTTGTGCGGGGCCAACGTCTGGATGAACGCCGCGATCTCCGCGGGGCTGCGTATCAGCAGAATGTCCTTCCCTTTGCAGCCGCTACTCGGTTTGATGATCCACACCTCCTCCGGCCGCTTCTCCACCCACTGCAGGAAGACCTCTCTATCGTCCGGCCGCTTTCGCTGGTCGCCGCCCAGCACAAAGGAGGCCGGCATCCACTCAGCATGCGTGACATCAGAGGCGGCAACGATCCGCGCCATGGACGCCTTGAGCGTCAGCTTGTGCGAGCCACGAAAGTAGTTGATGTAGCGGTACCCGCCGTACCGTGAGGTCGCCGGCAACCGCTCACACTGCAGCAGCGAGTAGGGAATCGTGAAGCGGTCGCCCAGGACGAGATCGCACCGCACGATGAGCCCCTTCGATAGCGTCTCTCTCCACCCCAGCTGACGCAGCTGCCTCGCCATCTCTTCATACACGCTGAAGGCAGAGTCACCCAAAAAGAAGAGTGGTGCTGCATCCCCTTGTGCTTCACGCTGCACTGTGTCCTGATGTCGCCCCTGCTGCAACTCCTCCGGCTCATTCAGCGGCGGCGTAGTGGCCTCCACGTCGGTGATCGATGACGACGGCCCATCCATCCAACCGTCCACTCCTGGCTACGCATACGCATAGACACAAACCCAGTGGCAAACAGGAAGGGAAAGAAGGGGAAGAAGAGGGATGGGTCGGTGACTGCAAGAAGTTTGCAACGAGCCACACATATGTGGCATTTTCCTTTTTTTTTTCTTTGTGACCCCCTATACTGATCTGCTTGTCTGTCTCTGTGGGTGTGCAAGAGCATGTGTGCGGGAGAGCTGCAGCTGCGGCTGCCTGGTCTCCTATTGGTTGGTGGATTTCGTTTATTATTTTTCCCTCTGTTTTCTTCTTTTTGTTTAACTTCTTCCATTGCACCACGCGGCTGTCCATCCACCGCGTCACAAGCACCTTTTTTTTTTTTTTCTTCCTCGCTCTCTTCCCCTCTTAGCAGCGCCCACACCTCCACCGGGTGTCACGCTGTGCCGTACAACTTCACCGTTCCGTCTGTCGAGCAGCTGGTGAGGCTCCGCGCGTCCACGCCCCAGCAGACCCCAGTGGCGGGCTGCAGGTGGAAGCTAAGCGTTGCCAAGCCCTGCAACACCGCGTTATCCCAGTCGAAGAGGCGGATTTCTCTCCCGGCCACCGCGAGGTATTTGCCGCTGCCGTCGAAGGAAACGACAGGGAGGTCGCTACACCCGGCAGAAGACGCCGTAGAGGGCGTTGCCGACAAGGGGGCAACGGTGTGCAGCGGCCCTGACATCTTCCGCAGGTCCCACAGGAGTGTCTTGCCGCCACGCAGCCCTGTCGCCACGGTGAAGCAGTCCGCGCTAAACGCCACGCTGCAGACGTTGTCCTCGCCGTGAAGTGAGACCAGGGTGTCCACGCACATCTGACGCGTGTTCCAGATGCAGAGCCCTGCACCGTCTACTCCGAGCGCAGCAACGGAGCCATAGGGGTGCACCCCCAAACACATGAAGGCCTCGAGCCCCTCCGCCGCCGCCGTGGTGGACGCGACGGACTCCATGCGACCAATGTCGGCCAGCCCAATGCGAGTCGCACTCGCGGAGAGAAGCAGGTGTCCAGCCATAACTCCCCCAAGTCCTACAACGCCGCTGTTGTGCTGGCGAACAACTCCCTGGCACAGCAGTGCATCTGCCTCACAGCTCCACACACGTAGCGTGGCATCGTCAGACGCCGACACGACACGGAGGGCGCCGCCGGCGTTGTACGAGACGACGTGGCGCACGGCGCGTTCGTGCCCAAGACCCGTCGCACATATGCGGCCGTTTGCCACGTCGTATTGGGCAACCGTCGCGTCGTCTATGCCGGCGAAAACAGTGTTGTCCGTGGAGAGAGCGACGGCCCAGACACTCTTCCCGACTTCGATGCAGCCGTCCTCAACAAAGTCTCGCACGTTCTGGGCGGAGGCCAACGACGGCGAGGCCACTCTGGTCTTCCGCTTGACGCGCTGAAGGGCGTCGTACTCGCCTAAGTCCCTTAACGCGGTGTCTGGCAGCGAGGTTCCCGCACTGTTGTCACCGTTGTTCTCATTTTCATCGCGCAAGAACTGAGCCCTCTCCCCGCCTGCCGCGTCATGGTCCTTGATAAACGTCGCAATCACTCGACACGCGGACTCGTACTGGTGAAGCGCCTGCGCCAGCTCCTGCTGTGTCTGGGCAAGTTGCTGCCGCAGCGAAAACTGCTCAAGCATAATGGCGCCCCACTGGGAATGGAGCCTCGCCAGCAAGCCTGGAACCGTCTCACTGCCGGATGATACTGCCCCACCCCCGCCCGCTGAGGCCGCGGCCGCTACTGCCGGCTTCAACACCGTCGGTCGAACCATGATGAGGTCCTCCTTCCGCAGCGGCTCGCCAGTGACGGGACACCTGCCGTGATCGGCGACGTACTGCTCGATCAACGAGCGCTCGTACAGGCATCCAGAGAGCCGTGACACCACCGGCTCATGCGGCACGCAATTAGACATGCAACAAAACATGACTGCCTGTCTTGTTTTATTTTTCTTTCCTTTTGTTATCGGGGTTTCCTACCACAGGCGATCTTTAAAAGAAATACACGCACATAAAGAGACAGAAAAAAGAAAAAAATGGGTGAACAAAAATGTCAACAACGAAAAGGCGACGACACTGAAAACCAAATAAAAACAAATTTTAAGACCCATACACACACATGAGTATGGACACAGATGCATGTATGTAATGTATACATATCGTTTTGTCCTCGCAGCAAGGAACCAGGTAAGACAGGGAAGTCCTCCCGAACTGCCCCAAACACATATTCCCCCCATGTTTAGCCGGCGTGAAGGGAAGTCAAGCAGAAACAAAACAAAAGCGAGAGGCAGGGAACTAAGCGTGAAACATGATACATTTAAACGAGCCACGGGTGGTGCAAACACCGCAGCGCAGAAGGGCGTTTGTTGGGATCCGGCGTCATGAGAAACAAAACAAATGCCTTGGCACCCTCGCTCACATGCTGCCAGGCATGGAGCGGAAAAGGTATCTGCTGGTGCAAAACCTTCGTGAACACCTCCGTTGGGGTACCACCGTCGAACGGGAGCATTCCGCTGAGAATGGCGTACGCCACGACACCGAGTGACCAAATATCGCACTTCTCGTCGTAACTGCACTCACCCGCGCCCGCCCCGGCCCTGCACTGGCTGAGGCCAATCATGGCGACCTCAGGGGCAGCGTACTGCGGAGTTCCTACACACTCGTTGTTGGGCATTTTGCTCACCGCAAAGCCAAAGTCGCAAATACGCACGCTTGTCGGTGGCCCCTTGTGGTCTGTGGGTGCGCTGATGAGCACATTTTCCGTCTTCAGGTCGCGGTGCATCACCCCAGAGCCGTGAAGGTGTGCCACAGCTTCAAGCAGCTGCCGCATCACAACCACCGCGGCGGGCTCACGAAGCGGACCCCGACGCATCACGTGGTCCAGCAGTGAGCCCCCCGCCACGTACTCCATCACGACGTACGTCTTCCTATCCACTTCGTATATACCACGCACGTCCACAAGGCCCGGGTGCCGGCAGGCCCGCGCAACCACTTGAGTCCCATGCAGCATGCGTCGCACGCGGCGCTCCGCGGAGGGGGTGCTCCTGCTAACCACCTTGACGACAAGCCGCTCATCAGTCTGCAGGTCGATGCATAGGTACAGCGTACTCATCGGCGTGCGGGCGCATGGGTACCTATCCAGCCGGTAGCGGTCCATGGGTCCTTGCGCCGTCGGTCAAGACAAAGGAACAAAAAAAAAGAAACAGAAATATCACCAACAACAACACACACAACAGAAAAAAAGTGATGTACCCTTGCACCTCTAAAGCGGCGTGGCAACGAATTCCAACGGGGAGGATTAGACTCCACAGAATACTAGTGTACATCAATCAAACTCTGGGGGACTGTTTTTTGGGGCTGCTGGCCACCGACGCTGCGGCCTCCGCCATCAGAGTACGAAACTTCTCGAACGAAGAATTGAACGGATCCCCATGTTCTTCTAGGAGCAAGAGCCACCTCTTGAAGCTAGTTAACTCCGAGCGGGCAAGCTGCAAAGCGGCGAGGCTCGTGACGCCAAGATCAAACACCTTTTTTTTGCTCTCATCGAGACTCCTTCGCTCCTCGCGTACCTCGTGCAGCAGTGCGCGGCTGCCCGTGCCCATCTCCAGCACCTCACGGAGGAGCGCCACCTCGTCTCGGGGCGGAACGTACTGCAGCCGCGCTGAGGGCATTCCGTTCACGTGCCGAAGATTCTCAATCGTCTCCCACCGCTTCACGAGGCTTCCGGGGGTGTCAGTGCTAGAAAGCAGAGGGTCCAGGCCCGCCTCCTCACGGCTGCGGATTTCCTGCTCAATCCTGTCAAACATATCGAGGGCCTCGCGGCAGTGCTCTGAGAAGGACCTCTCCACAAGAGGGAGGCCGACACAGTTGTAGCCGTTCCGCTCCTGCCACAGCGCCCGCTCCGCAATCACGGTCTCCACGTACGCAACCGCCTTGTCAAAGGCGGCGTTTTGGCGGTCACGCTCCGCAACGACGCTGCGCAGCTCCCGCTCCGTAACCTCGTGTCGTTCCTTCAGCGTGAGATACATGTTGCAAAGCGACGAAAAGAGATCATCCCGCTGTCGAACCTCTTCAAAGTGGCTTTCACACATCTCCTTGCATGTACCCGCCATGGTTTCAAGGCCTGCAATAACGCCATTGATGGAAGAAAGCAAAGAATGCGTCGAGTCAATGCCAAGAGTTAGCAAAGCACCCTCAATCTCCTCATTGCAGTACTGCAGTGTTGCACAGTGTCCCCGGAGCAGATGGACACAATTTTCCAGCTGCCCTGCCAACGCGGCAGCGGTGGAGGTGCTGAAGTTTTTCACCTTTGTCTGATTTTCAACGATCACCGGCGGAAGCCCCAGCTCGTAGGATCGCCGAACCTTGTCCGCACCACCTATCGTGGTCCCAGAAGACTGCATCGCTGCTACATACACACAGATGCAGATAGATATACAGATATATAGGAAAGAAGGAGAAAAAGAGAAAAATGAAAAGGAGGAGTTTGCAGGCAGCTTTACACATGTGGCCCACTCAGATTCTCTATGTATATATATGTTGCCGTTAGGTCCGTGTATTACCTCTCACACAAGTGAGAGGACACTAGCAAACAAACAAGCAACGCAAGGCACTCACCACACCATCGTGAGCCGCTCAGCACAACCCCCCATCTACATGAATCGTCTGACCGTTGATAAAGCGGCACAAGCTGACGCCAATGATGGCGTCAGCTACATCCTCAACAGTGGCCAGACGGTTCATGGGGCAACGCCTCCGCCACCACTCGCGCTGCTCCTCCGTCAGCGTCGCTCCCATCCCCTCACCTTCAATCAGACCGGGGGCAATCACGTTAAACCGCAAGTTCCTCATGCCGTACTCCCGCGTCCAAGACTTCACCGCCCCACTCAACGCGGCCTTGGATGCCGCGTAGATCACCTGACCCTCGTTGCCCAGGGTGGCCACGATAGAGCCAACGTGGACAACGCAGCCGTCTCTGCCCTGAAGCATTCCACCGTGGCGTAGCGCGGCACTCGTAAGGTTAAGTGCACCACGGAGGTTAACATTCATGACTGCATCGTAGTCGTCACCGGTACAGCGCACGTGCATCTTGTTCAGCGTCACACCCGCGCAGTTGACGAGCAGCGACACGGGGCCAAGTGTCTCGCGAACAGACTTCATCACGGCATCGGTGTCGGCTGACTGAGCAAGATCTGCCTTCAGGCAAAGGCACTCTGGAGGAACAAGGGCAGTAACATCCTTTCTCGACACGCAGGTTAACCGCATACGGTGCTCCTTAACCAAGCGCGCAGCTACTTGCCTCCCAATCGCAGAGGAGGCGCCAGTCACAACACCCACACGCCCTTCAAGGCCCCACGGCATCCTAAAAAAAAACCCTCCCCTCAATATTTCTCAGCCCCCTTGTAATGCGTTGCTTTGTTTCTTGTTAGCTGATTCTCCTTTAAAGTAATAGTAGCACAAAATAATAATTATTATTTTTAAAGGGCGTCTTTATACCCACAAGATACATGGCTAGACATCACATATTTTTCGTTGTGATTATTATGATCATTATTATTATTATTATTCTACGGTGGTTTGGATTCACTATTTCAATTCTTCACTCTCACCCTAATGCCTCATTTCGGCTATGTAGAGCATATCAAATATCCGAGTCACTGCTGTACACTCGACGCCGGTTTGTCGCCCATTTGGTCGTCACTTTGCGAATCACACGTGGAGCTGCGTGGGCAGCCTCTCCAACATCGGAGTCGCTGCTGTACAAATGAGTCATACCTTTGACTTCGCTTCTCTTGAGAGGAGGAGGAGGTGGTGGCGGTAGGGAAACTTTTCCAACTGTGGCGCCCTCCGTCTCCAAGAAGGATGTCGACATGGCCCTGCCTACGTGCCTGGAAGGAGAAACAATCACCTTTGGGGATGTCTGCTCCACCTCCAAGGACGGTTTCCGTCCTGCTGCAGAAGATGGAGTGACAGAAGTAGGCGCAGACGCGGAAGAAGTGGCAACCCACGATTGTGGCGCTTGCCACTTATTGTCGTCAGCGGATGCAACAATTTCCTCACACTTTAACGCAACACTTCCCAAGGTTTTTTTTATGGCGTGGCCTGCAGCCGGTCGAGTCACGCCATGTAGGACTGGGATTGTGTCATCACTCAAACTGCTGTTGAACCTAAAGGGGGTTGCCTCTGCATTTTGTAGGGCAGTCTTTGGCAATGCCTTCTTTGACGAAATACCGGAACCGGCGCTATCAACCACAGCTCTAGGAGGCAAAACAGCCTCTGCGGTTTCCGCTTCAGGGGAGAACGACGAGGATGAGGATGGATCCCGTTTCAATAGCACTCTTGAAAAAGCCTTTCTGGTTTGCATTGCCGGGGGCGAAGGTCTGCTGTCGCTGTCAGACGAGGAGTCATCTGCGAGCATGACGGCCTCTCGCCCTGACGCAGTTTTGACCGGGACCTTTGGGGCGAGCACCGTAGATGAATCGTCAGAGGATGAGTCTGTTGAGTCCCTGCCCCTGAAAAACGCACTTGCCTGCTTTCCACCAGGCTTGGTCTGCAAAGTTGGTGCTGGGTGCGTGCTCAGCTCATCAGAACTATCAGATGAAGCAAAAAAATTGGCAATAAAACTTTTCATAGACCGGGGTGCCTCCGTCCCTGACTTCACTGCTTTTCCTGAAATCGCTGCTGGAAGCGGTGGTGGCGGAGCGGTGGTCGGTGGTGGTGGTGGTGGTGGTGGTGGTGGTGGTGGTGGAGCGGTGGTCGGTGGTGGCGGTGGTGGCGGTGGTGGCGGTGGTGGCGGAGCACTGGTCGATTGTGCAACGGTGGTCGTGTTGGGTGTCGGTACCCACCGCGGGCTCACCGACACCGACTTCGTCGTACCGTCTGAGACGCGATCTGAGGAGGCGTCCCGTGAGTACGGCCCCCGATCATCGTAGTAGCCGCCGTATGGATCATTAAGGAATCGTTCCGAGCCTATGAACGCCATAAAGTGTCGACGGCGGTAGTGATGAAAGGTAGACTGGGAGAGGTTGCCGTCATCATCTCCGTCCCGTGCGTTGTCGCTGCTTGCGCCAGCCTGTCCTTCCAAAGCGGCGCTGCGTGCAAACAGCGGTATCGTCCGCTTCTCCAGCACGCGAAGCCCAAGCTCAATGGCTTCCTGGTACACACGCGTTGCTCTCGCCTCCGCGTCCTCCATTGTCGTATCGTCCGCCAGCGATCGGTCCTCGTCTCCGGGGTGGGTGGCCTCCGACGCCGCTTCGCGCTTCGCCTCGTAGCTGTCACCGTCATCGTCTCCACCGTCCACGGAGACACGATTTTGGACGAACTGTTTTTGCGAAAGAAGGACGAAGGAATTCATGGCATTCTGCACCCGGACAGAGGCGGTGCAGACGTCCTTTCCAAGGCTCTCCACCTCATCACGGACGGAAGTAAAACGAGCCAAAAACTTTGCCTGCAATGTCATGAGTCCCTTCAACAGCAAGGCGTCAGCCTCCGCGTCCCACTGCCCCCGCACAGACTCCTTGAGAGCCACGAAGACGTCGCCCAACTCGGTACCCTCGCTGCCTTGCCCATCCATCCCGGGACGTTCATACGAACACTTCAGCCAAAGACGGGGTTGAAAAAAACCAAAAATGCAAAAAAAAATTGCAAAGAAGGCGCATTCGAACATAACAGTACTTCACCTGTAACTGATACCACAAGTGTCAGTAGTAAACGCAAGTCAATCTGAAGGTATGCCACCCTTTTTATACCCAAACCAAACAAAACCTTTATATATATATATATATATATATATATATATATTCCTATCATCCCCACCATCCCCATCATCCCCATCATCCCCCACACCTCCCAATGCTCTGTAAAGATGGCTCTTGTTCACACAGCTGCGGGATCCTCAACTCGCGGCAATGCAATCGCTGTGTCAGCAAGAGAGACCCCTGCCTCCTGGTCACTAATAAGACCAAATTGATCTGCGAGCTCCTTGGAGTCACAGCTGTCCCCCAAGATCGCATCAATAATATGCTCTGTCATGCGTTTACGTTCCCTCCAAAGTTCTCTGGCTCTTTTGTACCGCCGAATTAGGAGCAAAATGTCTTCATCATCCGCCACGTCACGCCTTTTAATCGTTTCCCGCTTCACGGTCTCCAAACGTTGCGTGAGTGTGGCGCACTCAGTGGACAACAAGGCGATGTTCGCAGCCCGCTCTGAGGCGGAAGCCTGCTGAAGAAGTGTATTTAACCCTGCAGTGAGCTCTGAAAGACTCCTTGTTTGTTGTTGAAGTTGTTGCACAAGTTCTAGCCTTGCAGGATCCACAAGGCAATCCCCCCCGTGATTTTCCGCAGCCCCAGGTGGGAGGAGGAAATAGAACCTAGCCTTCTTGATATCCTTAGCCTGCAGCCTCTGCTCACTCACACACTGCTCCAGAACACTCTGCACCAGCGCCTTCCCAAACTTACTTCCAAGTGCGTCTGTTAAGGACTGCACTGTCGCTGGCTCCCCCTCACACTCGAACCATCGCAGAACGGCCGTCTCCGCGTCATTTCCGTCTGAACTCTTCGATGCCTTCTTGCGAGCCATTCGCGCCTCCATCGTCCGCAAAAAAAAAAAAAAAAAACGAAACATCAAGTGAAGAACAGCATCAAAGGAAAATAAAAAAGAAAACATAATAATAGACTCAATTCGCCGGCAGTTGCTGTGTAAGGTGCAAGAAAAGTGAGGCTCCAGTAACCACGAGACGATGCAAAGGCAACGATATGAACAGACGACACGGGGAACCGTTTAATGCGTCGTATATGTTCATGTCTCACTCAAAGAAACTCCTTCCGCTACGGGTGAAGTTTGCCGGGTTGATTGTCCGAATTGTCCCCACACGCTCCTGGAAGCGGTCCAGGATCATCCGTACGGAGTCCGAAAGCGCAAAAAGCGCGGCCTTCGCATTTGACCGGATGTGTTCCTTCTTGGTGGAGCGCACAATCACGACATTGTGCATGTCAAGGCTCCAGTTGAGGAGCACACGAGCCACACTGAAGCCAGAATACTCAGAGAGGGGTTGTAGTGCTGCATCTGTGAGCAAACCTTTATAATCTGGGGGCGTAAAGCGTGAGGGCATCCCCAGCGGACTGTAGGCGGCAGTCACCATATGGTGCGCCTTGTGCAAGTTAATAAGATCACGCTGCACTAACGCCGGGTGAAGTTCAATTTGATTTATAACCGGTGCATAAAGACGCTCGTCACTCATGACTTCGTTGATGTGTTTCTCGTTACAATTAGAAGGCCCAATCGCGCGCACCAATTTTTTATCAACAAGATCAGACATGGCTTTCCACGTATCAATAAGCTTGACATCGTCGTCCACTGCAGGAAATCCGCTGGCGTCTTTGGGGTATTTATCGTCGTCCGTCAAGAAATGTGAGGAGTGGCGCCACGCCAAGGGCCAGTGAATGAGGTATAAGTCAAGGTAGTCCACCCGAAGCTCTGCTAACGTCTCTCGACACGCCTTCTCTACGTGATTTGGGTGCTGATCGGTGGGCCAAAGCTTCGACGTCAAAAACAAATCTTCACGTCTCACTTTCCCAGTCGATATCACACGCTGCAGTGCCTCTCCAACTGCGGCCTGGTTGCAGTACGCCTTGGCACAGTCCACGTGTCGAAACCCACAAACTACGGCGTATTCAACGGCAGACCCCGCCTCTGCAGGAGTCATTCGGTAGGTTCCGAAACCGCACTGGGGAATAGTATGTCCATTCCGCAACGGAAGCCTGTTCGATACACCGAGTACAGGCCCCCCGAGCGGCCTAAAACTCAGAACATTTGCACCAGGCATTGTGAGTTCTCACTATCACCCTCGATTTCCGCCCTTCGAACCCGCTAACCCTACCACATGCTTCTCACAAACACCAGCCAAGCATAGATAAAAGCCACATAAATTGGGGATAAAGAAAAAAAACCGTGCGACTGAGAACGTAAGATGTGTTTGCATACCTTCAAAGCGGTTTACCCCAAGTCCTGCTCAAACAGCAAAAACTTACATGTCTCTGGTAAACCTCAAATTTATCAATAGAGTGCTTCAATACCAACAATAATAACAATAATAGTAATAATAATAATAATAATAAAAAAGATAATTGGGCATTTATCTATGACGTGCAAGCAGATTGGGTGGACAAGACAAATGCCCCAAAAAATGGTTTAGCTATTACAACCTCAGCCTAGAAGAAAAAGGGAGAGGGAAGACGAGCAAAGAAAGGGGAAAAAAAAAGCACACAAACGTCCTTCTCTGCCCTTTTCTGGAGTACTTCGGTTTCTTTTTGTTTCTTCTTCTTCCTTCTCCTATTATTATTCCTTTCTTTTACCTTTTTTTCCCTCTTTTTCGTTTGCTTACAAAGGTTATTGTGGTGTGCACGTCGTTCCAGCATGCCCTTGTGGGATTTCATCATCATCATCATCACTTCTCTGTCGACGGCGCTTAGCTTCCTTTTCGAGATCAATGTTTGTTTCCGACAAGTGACACACCATGGCAGAAGCTGAGGGAGATTGCTGTGGAGGGTAGTGAAGAATCTCGCGCAGCTTGGAGACGGCATCGGGGCGCAGACTCTGCGTCGTTGGGTAAACGACGTGAAACTGTACCACAAGATCTCCGCGCTCGATACCACCAGTGTTGGGAACGGGCATACCCTCCCTGCTCACACACCAGAGCCTGGAGGGGTCAACAACGCCAGTGGATGTAATAGAAACATCACGGTCGTCGAGGTGTTTTATGTTCATCGTGAATCCAGTGAGCGCCTCTGCCAAGGAGATGGTACGCTCCATAACGAGATGATCACCTTTACGGGTGAAAACAGGATGTGGTTTTTGGTCCAGAATGATAATGATATCCCCTGAGAGACGGACACCTGGTATCTGGTCACCTTCGCCTCGAAACGTCACATTGTCCCCACGATGCATGCCCTTATCAACAACAATTTCAAATATCTTCTTCTCCTTCTTAATCTGCTGACCTTTGCAAGCGTCACATCTGTCCTCATCCTTGATATCGGTGCCCTTTCCACGGCATCTAGGACATGTCACTTGCATTTGTTGAATGAACCCGGGACCAATCGAACGCGTGACAAGTTTGATACCCCGACCGTCACAGTCTTTGCACGTGACACTGGCATTCGGCAACCTGGATCCGGAACCGTTACACACAGCACACAAGCGATCACGGGTGATAGCCAACTTGATTGTCTTCCCTGTGTAGAACGCTTCAAGCGGGACAGGCAGCTCATGAACAATGTCTTTGGGTTTTGGCTCGCCACGGGCACGACTCCCACCAAAGAAACTTGCAAAGATGTCGGTGGGGTCAATTCCTCCACTTTCCATGTCAACTCCCTTCTCACCAAACTTGTCATACCGACTGCGCTTGTCAGGGTCTGAAAGGCATTCATAAGCCACAGAAACTTCCTTAAACTTCTCCTGCGAACCAGGTTCCTTGTTCTTATCAGGATGGTACTTCAAAGCGAGCTTTCTGTAGGCCCTCTTTATGTCATCCACAGAAGCATCTGGGGAGACACCCAGAGCGTCGTAAAATTTAGTCTCCTTAACCATACCTGCTCTCCCTACAGAAAAAAAACAAAACAAAAAAAGTGCAAGAGCAGCTCATCCTAATAAGTATAATATATATATACCCAATAGATATAATTCTCACCCACACAAACTCCTCATAAACGCAATGGACACACACCCCTCTATCTGGATCCATACTCGTCACCTTCACATCACCCTCAAGCGTTCTCTAAATAGATTCATGTCCTTTTCAGACGCCCCACAAGAGCTAACCACGTCGAGAAGTTCCTCAACCACTCTCTTCTCTGAACTGTCAAAAAAAAGAGCAATGTCCTCCACCCGTTTAACCGTGCATAATCCTTGAAGAAAGTTAAGCGCAACATTGCCTGGAAGAAGCTTCACAGTACGCAATAGCCCAAGAAGAATATCCGGCACCATATTGTTCCCAAATAGTGTACGAAGATTTGATGGAGGAATCAAAGAAACGTAATAGCAACGGAGTTCCTCGTCGCCTCTGATGTCAGTAAATACCCGTTCAAACTCTGTGAAGGATTTTGGTGCCTTTAGCATCTCTTTGGAAAGCCTGGATGTTTTTACGGTGCGTGGGGCAATGCTCTGCGTTTCACGTTTATTCGAGGTTGATTTTGACGGTGATGTCTTTGACTCGGCTTGGCTTACGTATGGTAATGTCGCTCTTTCCTCCGTCATCTTTGTCATTGAGGTTGAAGCCGCAGTTTTTGCCTCAACAGATTCCTCTTCAACAACTTCCACCCGTGCACATGTCCGTCGTTTCTGACTCAACTTTGATTCCTCCTCCTTTGCCTTGGCTTCTTGAAGTCGACGCTGCTTCTCCCGGGCAAGTTCAAGTGCATGCACCTCCTTTTGCAAGCTTTCTTTTTTTTGGGTTTCAAAGGTCTCGTTCTCATTGCTGATTCCGTTATTTGTAGTTTTAGTTTCGTAATTACTCTTTTTTTCATTGCTATCACGCTCTTCTTCTTCTTCATCGTCATCGACTTCCGCAATAACAACCTTCTTCACGACAGGGCCAGCTTTTTCCCGCTCAAGTTGTAACATATAAGTTATTGTTTTAATTTCACTAATGGCGCTAGCATCATTTGGACTAAGCGCAAGAACCGCCTCAAGATCGGTGCGGGCCCCCTTCAAGTTCCCAAGCTGCTTTCGTGCCATGGCCCGACGAAAATAACCTTTCGGATTACTATGATTCAGTCGAAGACATGCAGAAGCGTCACGTTCTGCTTCCTCCCATCGTTCCAGCTTTAAATGACAAAGAGCCCGATTTCCATACAACACATGCGCCACAGCTCCCTCGGGATCGAGGTCGATTCCTTTGCTGTAGGACTCAATGGCCTCCTTAAATTTTCCTGACTGAAAAAAGGAATTACCTGTCTCCTTCGCATTTTTCACTGGATCTTCTCCCGAGACCTTCCCACTGGACTTTAAAACCGCATCCTTTAATGAAGGCACGGTCCCCCTGACAGGTGGTATTGTATCGGTGTTTGCAGGATGCACCCCTCTTTTTTTCTTTGCCTCTTCGCGCCGCCGCATCTCATCCTGCCAAAGACTTAACTCTTTCAATTCATCTTGCAGATCTTCTGCTTGTTGTCTAATAGCGCTGGCGTAATCCATCGTACTGCCCCTCGTAGCTTCGTTTATCACACACTTTCCTAATAATTTGAAATAAATAATAATTTTAAATAATAATAATAATAATAAAGGCAAATTGTAAAAAGATGAATTAGATAATAATAAAAAAGTATCAAGGCAATATAATGTCTGCTTCCGTGGTTTGTCGGTGCATCCTTCAAGTTATCTGAAGAAAACCCCAATGAAAAAGTGCATATTCACCAACGAAAAACCATTACCAGAAACAATTGCATGCCCCTTCCTATGCGGTGGACCAAGCGTAGTTTAACAGAATGTTCATTATTCCAAAAGCTGGAACAAAAGTTAGTATTGGAACCCTTACAAAGTCGTATGAAAGACCCCTCTCACCAAATCGTGCGGCGGCACCAACAAAAACTATACAATGGAGGCACCCCAGCACTTCTATGCTACGCATCCAAAGAGCCAAAATAATCGCCAAAATCCACATGAATAGCATGAGTCTTCCCACATTTACTTTGTCAAATCCAAATGTCCGTGACAACGTATCCGCCGCCATGAACGTTGACACAAGTGTGCCCATGGCACCAATGAGCGAGAACATTCTTCTAAACGCACCTTGTCTATGGAAAAAAAAATAATAATAATAAAATATTGATAAATAAAAATAACATTTTTTTTTTTTAATACGTATGCCTCTTCTTGGTGATATTACGCTACGCTTTTGGACATGAAAGCACCAATTGTAAAACGTGTTTTAAAACGATTCTGTGATAGGCAGACAAAACAACAACAAGCAAACAAACAAAATCATTACCATCCGCGTTATTTTATCTAAACTGCAAAGATAAAAAAAAACAATAACAATAATGAAAAACATGATGGTAGGAGTCTTCAAAAACATATTGACATGATGCTAAATGACATCATTAGCCTTTTAACCCTCCATTCATCCTCGTCAATGGCACCTCCATTATAACAGCTTCAGAGCTTTTTCATGATCACGACTACTCCATGTCTGATCCCGATCAAATGCGTCCCTAACAATGTTCGCAACAGATACAAACGTCTTTCGTCGTCGAATCTCATTCTCATCTTTTGCATCCTGCTCAGCCCGAACACAATCTGCATACAACCGCAAGTAGTGCAACTGCTCACCCTGCATACGCATTTGAAAGGCCGTAACAATAGTAAATATGCACATCCAAATACAAAAAGACACCTTGTGGCATTTTCTTTTATACTCAATATCTACCTCCCTAAGTAAGTAGGGTGCTAACTGAGGGTCACGCCGAGCGTACAGATCCAAATGCTTCATAAACATAGAACCCTTTGTTTTATGTTCCAAAAGATTGTAACGCCTTGAACATTGCAAACTACCTCTCACACAAATAATAGATGCATGTAATAATCGCTTCATCCTGCTCCAAAGTAGTTAAAACTTTATACACCCATATGTATGGGGAAAAAAATGTCAAACGCAGAAAACAGTAAGGAAAAAAAAAGCACACCATTAAAAGAATTTTTTTTGTCAAGATGAAGCATACACCTATACTTCTCAGTCATCCTCAAACCCACAAATTACCCAAATAATAATAATAATAATGTCAGTTATTCACGTCTCCTTTTCAACGCCTTACCCGGACTAGCATCTGCACTGGAAACAGAGCGAATATTATCAAGCCTTTGAAGAAGAACCTCTTTGGTTACAAGAGCTCTTGGTTTGGTTGTATTTCGGTACCGAACAGCTGCAGCAAGAAGTTTTTTTTCAAGAGATTCCCCAAATTTTTCTGACACAGCTGCCACATACGCTGGCTTCTCTGCGATGGCCGCAAGTAGCTGTAATTGAGAAGATTTCCGGGAAGTCAATCTTTCATCAAAATCTTTTTTTGTTTTAAATAGCACCTTAATCAACACAACTCCATCATTTGATTCTTGAGATCGCGCTAAGAGATGAGCTATTACCTTTGCATAATATTCATTCTTTGAGCGAACAAAGATATCCGGCCATTGTGCAAAAAGCTTTATCATGTCCCGAACAACGGTGGTGCTCCCACATGAAGCCAAGAGGAACGTAACCTCTTTCCATGGGCGCACAGAAGAATCTGCTGCGTATAAAGTAGAAAGAGCAGTAAATATAAAAGCAGAACACAATTCTGTCAGCACTTCATCTTTTGTATGTGTCATATAAAGCACATATTCACAGAAACGAACCACAATATTTTTTCTTGATGATGGCAAGGAAAATTTCAGAAACGCTTCTTGTGCCTTGGTACTGGAGCATACGGATACTGCAAATTCTCTGTCAAGAATAATCAAACGAGCTGTGGCCAATAAAAAGATTGCGGAACCCATAAGAGAGCAATGATCAAGACACTTTATTCTTTTAATTAAATTAATTCGACATTCCCCTGTGCAATCCTCACGATAAATGATACGCTCCAGAAGAATACCTAACGGGGTCTCACAAATCTCTGCCGGTGTACTTGCACCTCTAAGGACTTTGTCACACTCTTCCCCTACCACGTCTGTAACACTGGCAACAGTTGTCACTGTACCGTACTTGACAAGCGACGTCAAAATTGAAATCCCAACTGGATTCTCGAGCATTTTCAGTATAAAAGGTTCCACTGCCTTCAAGAGGTTTTTCTGATGCTTTCTTGTGGACGTTTTTGATAAGACATCTTCAACATTCTTTGCTGATTGGGGAGAAAACAAACAATCAACGGACGACTCTATGGTGTCCGCCCACCTCGTAGGCTCCAAAGTGAGAACTGTCATGTATTACTCCAAAAATCACTACTATTTCAATAAGAACAAAAAAAAAATCGACTCCAATACATATAGCAAACAGTGGGATATAAAGATAAAAACCAAAGGGTAATGGTTGTCAATATAATCTGCTTATAATCCGAAGCTGCAATAAAACCAGATATAAACAACCTACTAGAACAAAAACAGAGGTAATAAAAGTAAAACATAAAAAACTACTTTTTGCACTTCTTGAAATCCACTCCGCAAACCATAAAAGCGATAATTATGCCAACAAGACCCAGTACAAGAAAGAGAGCAATTGCAAGCTTGATGTTCCTCAGTAGCATTATCCTCTTTAAGGCCCGGGCATTTGAATGAAACCCTTGCGCCTCATCTCGCAGCTGCTCTGTTTTATCACATAAGCTTTCAATACGGTCGCCCCGATCAATCAATTTATCAAGATTCTCCAACATAACTTCTTTGGTACTATCAAGTTGCTCATTTATTTTCCCGATCTTGTCTGCTTGAGGGTTTACGTTGAATGTACGTGTCAAAGTAGCAAGAGAAGTACGGAATTTTCCGCAAATAGCGGGTGTAATCTCAGAAGAACGAGGATATCTACTCGCGCTTCCGGCAAAACAGGTTTTAAATAAATCGCGAACCTGCATCAAAAAACCAAATACAGTACGATTTTCATATTGAATGCCTGAGACGCAACAATACACAACCTCATTCTCAACAAGAAAATGGTAAACGTTCGCCTCATACTGGTAGCTCACCTTTGCATCGTGCCTTGGAAGACGTTCCAACATCGCATCAATCACTGGCCGCATCGGAGAAGTGACATGATCCTCCGTAACCACAATGCGCTGAAAAGCAACAAAAGACGATATAATAACCATGTTATACCTTGCACAAACTTAAAGTGCTTAAAACAACAACAGCTCAACTTTACAATAAAAGTAAACACAGCAAAAAGCAAAAAAAAAAGACTCATGATCCAATAACAGAGACAACAAGACCACACCCAGCAAACAGCACAGAAGTACACCAGCACCCACATGCACACCACCTCACCAACCCACCCGCACCCAGCCAGATCCAAAACCGCCAGATGTGCCAACGCGCACCAACCCCACACAACCAACACCCTTTCCCAAGCGCTCCAAACACCAGAACAGACACCCCGCCATAGCGCAAAAAGAAAAAAAACGAACGACACCCTCCCCACCCCAGATCAACATTAACAGACGGCACGCCACCGGCCCCTGCCTCCGAGCTATCGCCGCCCCCAAAAAACCTAATAAACCGCCGCCACCGAACACGGCGAACACGCGGCCGAAGCCGGCGGCGCCGGCGCGACGATCGCCCCCGACGCCGCCGGCGGTTCCGGCAGGGGCGCGGCCTCCGCCCGCAGACCCAAAGGCCCCCCC